AAACACCTGTCTCTAATCGTCATCGAAACTTATCTTTGCAAAAAAGTTAACAAGCAATACATCAAGTTTTTGTGAGCTGTCCATGGCACACACTTAATCTGAAGTTAACGTGACAACTCAACACAGATGTTATGACAGTTGATTTTGAGGAAGCCAACAACTGTGAATTATTCTTGATTGAAGCACGGTAATGCCGGCTAATTCCAGCGATATACTACAGATTTTCGATAGTTAGTTGCTGTATTGTTAGGAATATCACGGAGTAAAAGAAGCATTTCCCCACTCATATAATGTTGTTACTCCATGCAGCATTTTGAAGAAATTCACTTGCCAAACGCTTTAATGAGAAGAGTGGAGGGATTTTATGGTGCTTAGAATTTATAATCGGATAAGCTACTTTATTTTCATTTTTGCAACAGCGACTTTGATTGCAAAGTTCATTTTATGCATTTTTGTTAATTTGCACAAAGGACAAAGTATAAAGCTTTCAATGTTGATTGGCTGCGAAGATTAAGCTCCGCATCAACTCCATTAGATATCTTAGAAGACCATTGAATGCGTATTTGTATTTTATCCGTGCTGGCATACTGATGCATCACTTGAGCGTTCCTACAATCTTCGAGAAGTCGGTCAGCATTTCACTGGCACCTGAGGGAATCGATGACTTGATGAGTTTGGAAATCGGAAACGCATCACTGACTAAGTGATTTCGCAGGATGCCTCTAACAACTGCGCCACATACACTCTTCTATTCCAAAGAGGCTTTTGAGTAAAAGTTAGTTTCTAAAGACCTTACTGCTGTGTATAATTTCATATGATACCGAGTGCTTCACGATGGAATGTCGCCTTAAAAAGAGAGCATTACAGGCCGAAAATTAGTCAGCAATAATTCGTTCAAAGAACAGCTCCGAGCGAGGCTACTTCATTTCATTGTTTACTTGTTGGATTTCTCGCGGCAACCACAAAGGTTTACCTTGGTAAAATGAATGACTGCGAACAATAGACTCCAATCATTGGTATTTCAAGGAAGGCATAACCGAGGAATTTTAACGGGATGAAGATTTTTTCAAGCGACATCATACTGGCAAAAGTCTGAGGAAGCAGAATAAACACAGCTTTTGACAAACTTATGATCAGAAAAGTAGTTAAAACCTAACACTGCAATTTTAAGCCGGGTGTAACCTACCCAGGCTAATCAACATCAATCAGATATGGGAACAAGCAGATGCTCAAAAGTGCACAATCCGACTTCGATTCGTTAATTTCGTTGTGGTGAATTTAGAGATAAAGAGAATGGATGTTGCGAACGACCTTCAGCCAGTGGCAATGATGAATTGACGAGTTTGGTGGTAGTCGATGCACACACATTTCTTGAGAGCCTGAAGAACAGAATGTAACTATTACGAAGCTGCTACCTTTGGAGCTGGCGAATTTTGACAAATTCATGGGGCATGAATTGAACGACATTTATATAAATCTTCAATTAGAGCGATCGCTGGAGCTTCTTCTGCTCAAATAAAACCACACGTTTTCCGGCCGCATTGGAAGCGCTCCACGATATGGAGCCTCGCTGATAATCAACGTCCATCAGCTTAAGGGCTGAACAGAGCAAAATCTCAACGCAGTATCTTAGATAAAAGTTGCATCAGGGAGAGATCAAGCAAAAATTTCATTGAACAATCACGATGACCGTTCTATGATTACGATTCCTCCGATTTGTTGCAGTATTCAAATTGTGTAGTACGATTACGACATAGAACTGCGTACAACAAATCGACGTAAACAGGAACGCCCCGTATTTGTCAAGAGAAGGGGAGCAATATTTTCTATGATAAATAGCGGTAACGTCTCTTGTTCAACTAGCTGCATAGGTTGGTCAGACTGGATTATGGAACTCTCACTCATTAATCAAACTTACCTCTCACTTACTGACTATCACTTTTTCAAGTATTCTGACAAATCCAGGTGCAAGAAATGCTTTAGAGACCAAATTTAGGCCAAAGCAAAATCGATGAATTCCTTACCTCTGCGAACTTGGATTTTTTGATCGATAGGTATATGCAAACATGCTCCCTCTTTGCCACAATGTTAAGATCACGATGACCCTACTCAAATTTGACAAAGCTTATTTAGGCGGAAATATTTTACTCCAAAACACAGCCTGAAGTTCGACATTATTATTCATTAATTATTTATCTAATTGAACGGCCTGTCATCATAATTTTTATATTGTGCAATCCCGGTGCTTTTAGCATTCGATTCGTTTTTCGTTTTCTTCTTGATTGACGAAGAGTACTGATCGAGCATGTCTCCTTGCAATCTCAAGAATAGCCATGCTGTGGCGTTCCGTAGGGCGTTGTCGTTGACCGCCGGGAGAAAGTTTGGAGGGTGGACGCGCATCGCGACGAGCATCACAACCACTCGGCCACGGCGCTCCAAAGTTCGACATTAGTCCTCGGAAAACCCAATACTTATTCATAACCAACTAAATATCTTTCTATTTACCGCTTTGAGTGGTGGTATGCTGTTACAAATATATACCCGGTAATTTTGGATAATATGCAAAACTATGAGAACTCAAAAGGGAATACAACCCGCAATTCACTCTTTCCAAAGCGTGTGCTGCATGAAAAAAGTATATTCAATAGTTGTAAGCGTAATTGGGTTCGTTGCCGATATGTGCTTGCAAGTCAACCTTTGACGAGTAGTTACTGAGAAATCGATGCCTTATGTTGCAGAAAGAGTAAAGGCGGAATAGTAGTGCTGATAGTGTAATTGATCAGCACGCGCCCTTAATAAGGATGAACTGCGTTGGATTTCTTCCGTCAAGAGTTTTGCATACCGCTCAACATTATTGAATGCTGTTATTAATCAGTTAATCGGAAGTGCGACTTTTACTATACTTTGGCAATTATAATCGTGAATATATTACAAGCTGTTCTCTTTTAAAGCTTGTATGAGATTGGCATACTTTCTTGTATAGTGGAGTCTGACGTTTCAGTAATTTCAGCTTACAAAACGACGTGATTTGTTGCACCAAATCTAATCAATCAATTTACGTTGTACCTGATCTGATGATTCAGTTAGGATTTTCTGTATCCAATGTGAATCTATTTTGAAATCAAATTGAAAACTTGCCTATCGAGGGAAATTCATCGTTCAACTTCCCACGTGGGAAGGTGGGCGCTGTGTCGTCACAGAGTATGAGTAATTAACTTACTAAAAGTAGAAAATGAACTGAGATGTACGTCATAATCACTTATGCGTGTAGACACTTTTCCTTATCCGCCTGAAGACTCATTAAATTCACGTAAGAAGCCGAAAGGTTCCCACGCCAAGAATCATTCCACAATTTACACCATCACTTCAAATCCATCACAGTCATGACTCTCTGCCCTGTGAGTACACAGGGAAGTACTGTCCGACTCTTCAACTTTCATTTTTGTTCTTTGAAAATGATCCTCCCGTTTCCCTTATGACTCTTACCACGTCTCTTAGAAGATACAAGGTATATCATACTCAAACTCTACCAGATCTCTTCCTCTATCGTGAAGATAGATACATTGCATAAACGGTCATACAGGCGGTTCTACTCCGATCATCGACGTGTTGTGTAAATATCCTACAAGTCCCACAGAGTTTTCCAAATCGCTGTTTTCAGACGCTTTTTGATTAACTTACGGACCTTACTTCACCTCTCCTAAAAGACAATTACAAAGTATTTTCCGTTTGTGCTTATCATGCCATCATTTCCGTCATGGATCTATCCCTCCTTTTTGATTTAGTTTCATAAGATTTCAATCACTTTGAATGGTTCCTTTTCGTAATCACTAGCGATGGTCAGTTGCTGCGCCAGCAATTCCTTTAGCATCTTGCGGAAGGTCGTCCAATTTGGAAGGCTACGAAGATTGATGCGTGTCCCAGAACATGCTTGGATTCACTAAGTTTGAAAAAAAACAATCTTTGGAATAATGATATATTATCAAGGAGACTCCTGTATGATTGATTGTGAAATAAACGCCAATGTTTTCTAAAATCTTACATTTTTCAAAGAGTAAACAACATCTTTGAAGAAGGAACTAAAATTCAACTATTACTGAACATTTTCTCTCATTTTTTGATTTCTGTGGTGAGTCGATAGCTTGGGAAATTCTAACTTCAATAGTAGTCTTGTTATGTAAAATTATGCTAATGGTATGCCTCATTTAGAAAAAAGATAACGTCTTGCAATCGCTGTTCATTTTCCATACTTCACAACGTATTTTTCGGTATTATACAAAGATATTTTGTTTTTTCCGGAAACTTTAGTGCTAAAAAAATAGATTAGCATAAAAGGACTCACTTGAATGTCTTAAAAGTAAAAAGAACGTATGATTGTCTTGAGAATCCTTAGTTCCAGATAGAAAATTTTGTTGAATGCAATCGCATTTTAAAGAGTGCGTTCAGTACTCTCAAATTTTTCTAAAAAAAAGCAAATCCACTAGACTTCAGTACTTCGTTAGTTCGGATAATGGAGATTACAAAACAAAGATTGGCTTTTGGAAAGAAGATCTTCAGCCTGTGTTACTAGCGAAATAAAGGATAGAATTTTTTTTTTTTGGAAAGTTTGCCTGTTCTTCAAACTTTACAGAGGATTCATTGGCACTTACACAGCAAAACTTCTATTCTAAGAAAACCTCACCAATACGAAACTATTGGCAGATTATGATTTGAGGGGCTTCTGTAAACGTAGTATTAGTAAAGGAGCGCTCAGTTGTCTTAGAAATCCCTAGTTTTCATATGAGACCTACATTTTTAAGGCATGGATTCTATTGTGTCATATTTTACATAATGATGATATTGTTAGCAGCTTGTCAATGTGACATACCGAAATCAACAACTTATCTAAATTCCTTTATTCTTGACTGCCACTTGCAGTGGTAATGTTATAGTATACCCAATATGTGGAGTGCTGTGCAGAAATGTTTGCGTCAGCCGGGATTCGAACCCAAATCTCACTTTTTCCGTTGAGTGCAACGGTTAGCATACGCTCCCGGAAAGAGTGAGATCTGGGTTCGAATCCCGGCTGACGCAAACGTTTTTGCACAGCACTCCCCATATTGGGTCAACAACTTGTGTTAATAATATCAAACAAAAGCAATCAGTCTCTAAAAATTCACATAGAGCACTTGAAGTCGGCACCTGTCGTACAGTGCCATGATAGCCGCGCAAAAATGTGCTCATAGTACGGAGAAGAGGGCTCCGTGACAGAGTGGTTGTGACGTTGGTCACGGAGCGCGTGGAGCCGAGCTTTGCCCCACTCCTCTACGGCAATCAACATCAACGTCCTCTGGAGCGCCACAGCAAGGCTATCCTCAAAATTTCAAGGAAACTCGCTCAACCAGTATTCTATGCCTTTCAAAAAGAAAACGAAAAAACGAATAGAATACTAGAAGTACTGGGATCCGCAAAGTGAAAAAACGCTGGATGATGGGTCAAATAAAATGCTAAAGTGCGTAGTAGATTTAGAAACTTTACCTGATACGTCGCTTCGTCAATTGCCTCGCAAACGCCTGTATGACCGTCTCTGCACAACAGGGCACTGTGCGTCCTAACAGTAGAATAGGAGATGGCAAATATACCTCATACGGTCTTATGTCGAAGATATTAGCAGTGACAAAAAAATAGGGGTGCTTTACAACAGCAGGTTACGATCACATGGAATTACAAATCAAGGCTATCACTCCTCAGATCCTCAAGAAAATGTAGAAAAACTTCTGTACATAACAAGAGACTAGAAGTGCATTCATTAAATAGGACATGTGAGCTATACGAAGATGCGCTTCATCGATAAACGATATAAACAACATACAAGATAAACGATGTATAACAGTATGGCGCATAGCTCTGATCGATTAGAGTAGATCTTAGTCAGGCCCACTTCATGCCATAAAGGGTCTGCTCGGCTGGTCCCCGGGAACAAGTGGGCGAACTACAAGAAATAAATATGAGAATTTCAGAAGAATCTTTTTATGCCAAAAAATCATTTTTGAGCTACGCATGTCATGTGACCTATTAAAAAGGGACTGACTAGTAGAGCCCGATACAGTGTTTCGACCTTGACGATCTCGTCAGTCGGGCACCTTTGTCTTTAACCAATCCTCTCGGGATGCTCAGTCCCCTTTACTAAGAGTAGACGACGTGTATCGGGCTCTATAGGTCAGCTCATTTTCAACTGACCAAACGACATGCGTGGCTCAAAAATGATTATCTGACATATTGAAATTTGAACGTGGTCTTGGAAAACGCTCGAAAAGAAAGATAGAATCTGTTTTACGTTGCAGTTCAAAAATCTATGTACAAACATTTTTGCTTTGGTGGAAAAAATGTTTGTCTAAGTGAGCTACGTATCCATTTGACCTTTCCACTACTGCTATATGCTTACAAAAACTATAAATAATTTCAAAAAGTGTTCTTCATTCCTTTCAAATTTCGCTTTGAGTTTTTTTTTGCTTGACATGAGAGATTATGTGGCAGGCACATTACGACCAGTGTGACCCTTCCGGCTTTCATGAAAGAGCGCCGGAGCAATGGTCAGAAAACAACAAGAATGCATTGATAGTTTTGTGTCTGTTTAACAAAAAACACTAATTATTTTCGGTAGTGTCCTGCGAATTATCTTTTTTTCTGAGATTTACGCGGGCTCTTGTGTCTTCTACAAAATATTATCTGACGTTTCGCAAGTTTCTCCTCCCTCAAAGCATACGTACTATACCGCAACACATTCAATTGTTTAGCTAAAGTTCTCTATGAATAGCATAAATCTATTCACAATTAATTTAGGTGACCGTTTACTGATAAAAGCTCAACGTTTGATTTATTAGATAAAAAGGTCGCTAATGAGGCGCCATACATCACAATTTATGTGTCTTAGACGAACCAAAAAATAGAAACGAATTTGCCGAACGTCAGATATCACATTACCACAGAGCGCGTGCTTCAAGTAAAATAGATGGTCGGTTGGGGGAAGAGTTTTAGTAAAAGAGTCATAATTTAGTTTGAGTTGATAATGCTGAGGTCTAATGGCACTTATACTTCTGATTTAGAATATTAGATTTTTCGGTGACTAACGTTTGTTTCCAGTCCATGCATACAAATTTAATGCCCGATTTTTTTGCGATTCCAGACTGTGTTTGCATATCTTAGCCCACAATCAACTTTGCTAAATTCAAGTAGAAGTTATTAGAGTCTTCACAGTATTGCCTACGGAAAATGCTTGCTTATAACCGTCGAATAAAAATCGGATTTTCTAAAATAGAAGGGTACACTTATCTTAACAGAGCCGTGCATCGCTCGGCTACTCTACGTGACACATCACAATGTGTCCGGGAACTGTAGAATTTATAAAAAAAATTATATGGAAATCACTAATCATAATCGCTTTCAGAATGTGAAGTAGTTGCTGAGTGTTCATCCGCAACCTCTCTAGCAACATTTGAACACTCTGATTCTAGTCTCGCTTTCATGTGGTCACTATCAGATACTGGCTGACGCTCATGTATTTTGTCATCATTGAAGCTTATTTCCTGCAAAAAAGTCATATAACAATGCATTATCCCTTTTGAGCTGCCCACTGATCCACGCTCTAATTAGATTTCGGTCTGCATCCACCTCAGAATTACGAGTCACACTTGATTTCGAGGCGACCAAAAAACTGTGAACATCTTCGCGATTTGAACAAAAGAAGGCTGCTTTTTCAAGAAATTTACTAAAAATTTTCGGTGCTTAAATGATGTGTGGTCAGGAGTATCACAAAATTATGAAAGAAAGTCTTCATCTACTCAATATTTCCACTTTATATGACATTTTTCACCAAAGTTCACTTGTCAAGCGCAACATTTTCAGAATTTCCGAGAATTTTTTCCAAAGATATACAGAAACTGATACCGAATGCGCTACTTCATTTTCATGTTGAATTTACGTTGTTTTTTCTACGCAAAGCTTATTCTAAGCACTTTATGTCCAAAATTCTCATGAATTATAGCTTCACTGAATTGTTGTATCGGTGAGCAGTTGTGAGTCTTTGTAAAAGCCAGGATTGCATTCACTCATCTCTAACGAAGCCTGATAAAATAAACTACATGAAGCACTTCCCAGAAATCGACCAACGCTGGAAGCTTTATCCTTCATCCTTTATGCAAATTAGAGTGGAAAAAGTATAAAATAATGTCTGAAAAAACCCCATTGTTGTAGAATATAACATGAAATAAAGTCGCATATTCAGTATTAACCTGGCACTTTGCTGCAAAATTCGTAGAGATTTTGACAGAGGTGTATTTGATGGCCGAACTCCAATAAAAGGTGTTATATACAAAGCAATGGTCGGATGGCAGAGAAAACTGTGGCCGAGTAATTGTGATGCTCGTTGTGACGCGATGCGGTAATGATTCGACAAATATGCACATCCAGAATTCTATGTCATTCACGAATATGATGAAAAAAGAACTGAATGCGAAATGTACTATACTGAAGTCTGCACAGGAAAAAAAATAACTTTGAATATGGAAGAGATAAGTGAGTAGATATTACAGCGGCACTTTCATGAAAATAAAAAAAGCTTCTTTCAAAATTCTATGATAATCTCAATCATACAACGCTTAACTATCTAATAGTAAAGTTTAGTTTTAAAAAAGCCGGCATTACTTTGTTCAAATCACGGAAGAGTTCACAATTTTTCGGCTTTCGCAATCCAATCAGAGCGAGAATCAATGGACAGCTTTCAAGACTTTATGCACTGGATGTTTGTTTTTTTTTTTTTTGGAAAGATAAGCCTTAATTTTGATGAAGCACAAGTGCGCTAATTAGTACTTGATGACAACTACATGGAAGCTACCATTGATGCGAAGTCTTTGAATGCTGTTAGCGAAATTGTATAAATATCTAGCAATTGCTTAACATTTTACAACGCAAATATATTATGATTTCTTATTGACTGAGCAATAATGGATTGGTTATGAATTCCACGTTACCTCATCCACATTAAGGTGTGCGATAGAGAATGGTCTTTAAGACATATTACGTTGCTGAATCAAGTGGTTTTACCAAAATGAAAGTTTCAAACAATACCCAAAATCTATGTATGGTTCGATTAATTGACGAAATGCGTCGGAACTACGACATGTAATTTCAGAACATTTGAACACATAAAATTCAATCATGCTGAGTGTTAATACTCCACAACGCAATCGACAACGATGTTGTAAACTTCAACACATCATGACATTATATTTTGAGTTTTTCAAGAGGTCTGCTATGATTTCTCTAGTGCTTGACATACATTTCGCGCTTCTAAACCTCATCAGTAGCACGTGCCCTTCAGTTCAGCCAATCCTTACATAGAAGGCAATTGACGCCGGACATGTTGTGCTGCGTGTAAGGTGAATAAGATCACCCGACGTAGCAATGATAACAAATCACTGCATATCAAGTGTAAAGATCACCTGAAATTGTAATGATTAACAGTAGATGTTGTTAGGATGTTACAAATTTCCAGTGAAGTCTGGAATAAACAGTCAAATATAAAGAAAGGTATCATGCAATTGACCAGCCCTGATTAATTGATTGTTGATTGCTGCAATGTCAGGTGATCTTATCACTCGACATGCAGTGATATCCTGCCACCGTAGTATTAGAGAATTTTATCACTTTACGTGGTTTGGCGCCGATTCCCTTGTATGTAGGGACTGGCTGAATCGAAAGAAACCTGCAACTGATGAGTCTTGCTAAAATAAGCTAAAACGTTCATCGAACTCTCGACATGGTGCAAGAGACGTCATGAACGGCTTCCAATATGATGCTAGGATGTATTGAATTTCGAGCGAGCTCTCGAAAAAGCTGTCAAATATGGAGGTAAAGCTTTGATGCTCTAAAGCTCTCGGTGTTGACCAATCCCTAAGAGATGCGCCATGCATTCGTGTTCAATTTTAACTTCCATTGAGGGGATTGAATGCATATCTGGCCTTTAGAATGTCGCGGTGGCCTACCGCTGAACCGGATCAGTGCTGCTTATCCTCCCAAACAAGTCTGAGACCAGTCTG